TCCCCCCTACATTTTAAGGTTCTCCAAGTTAGGTTACAATGGCTCTACTCTTTCCTGAGTTGATAGTTTCCATCAGTGGTATTAAGGGGAGTAGAGCCCAACTCAATGGAGGCTCATCTGCGGTGTACTCCAAGGCATAATCTCCTTCCTCCTACTCTACCCTATGTCATAAAAGGACATCTGTTGGCTAATGACAGTTAGTCCTCGTAGGTCGACCAATACAGCCTGACCATCAGTTGTAAATTGTGACTGTTGTATAAAACTTTACCTTTTTTTGCAGCAGTCATTAAACACACCCCACTGTCATTAAGCATGCCAATCGTTTGCTATGGAAGCAGTTCTTGACCGAAACCTGGTTTTCTTCAAAACCATCATGTAAAACATGGCCGCGCAACCACAAGATGACGTGGACATAAATGCAGTCATATTGGTGAGGGTCTGAAATTTGGTCTGGGGCGTGGGGACTGCGGGAACTCCAAATCCAGGTGGTACTTAGCCCCCAGGTAGGCTTTTTCATTTCCTTAACTAGTTGTTAAGTTTGAAGATCACCTGTACACAACTTTTTACATCCAGCTGTAGATGCCATGAAAACATGGATGCCTTGCCTGGAAGCAGTTAGGATCTGGATGATAGAAAGCAAGACTGAAGCTGAACCAAAGGAAGATGGAGTCGTTGTTTCAGAAAAAAATTACCTGCCAGTTAACTCCAGACAGGACTGCATTCCCTCTGAAGTGTGTCTGTCAACTGGAGTGGCATCTTGGATTCACTGCTACCCCTTGATAAATAGATGTTGGACCAGAGAACCTTCACCGAACTTTGGCTGATGTGCTTCCTGTAGCCCTACCTGGAATAGGAGACCCTGGCAAGTGCCATGTTCATGGCCAGGTGATTCCACTACAGGTAGTCCCTGACTTACAACAGTTCATTTAGTCACTGTTCAAAGTTATCCTCCTCATGATTGTTATTTAAGGACCCCATAATCCCTTGTGGGGTGGAGTCTGGGCAACTGAATGGAGCTAGCAGTGTTTTAGTGGCCGGATGCCCTTCCTGTTGCCAATACAGAGTTCTGTTCAGCAGATATATTCTCAGTGTGCCGAGAGAAATATCTGCTTCTACCTAGGATCGAACTCACAGCCTCCCAATTGTGAGGTGAGAGCCCCACCTCCAGACCACCGCGCCACTCGACTGTTTAAAGTTAAAACAACACTGAAAAGTCACAGTCACACTTGTGACCGTTTCCCATGGTCACCGTTTCAAAATTCAGACTTTTTGGCCACTGGCTCTTATTTACGGTTGCAGGGTCCCAGGGTCACATGATCGCCTTTTGCATCCTTCGGGCAAGCGAAACCAATCTAGGGGAAACCTAGATTCACTGAAAAGCCGTGTTACTGATTTAATAACTTCAGTAATTTATTTAGCAACCGAAAGTTCATAAAATGGGTGTCAACTCAAAAAGATCTCTCTGGTCTTTTAGAGTTGACAGCAGAAAGGGAGTGGGGGAAGTAGTGCATTCCTTAAATGCTTCATAGATAATGGCTAGGCAGCCGAAGCTTCTGGTGCGCAAGATTATTACTGGAGAGCATGATTGATGACTTTTGGCTATGGATGTGTCCCATTGGAGAATATACATCCAGCGGGTGGGGGGGAAGACCAGGGTCAAGGGTGAAATGAATGATGCATCTCGGAGTCGGCTGCACCCAGGTAGCGCCGGCATGTTCACTCCTTGAAATATGGCTAGACTCATAATTTGAAGGGGGGGGGGGGCAAAACTCACTTAATTCACTGAACAACATAAATTTTAGGCTCAATGAAGGTCGTAAGTCGAAGACCACCTCTACTGTACCGCAGGCTGCGAAGAGCTGCCTTTCAAAGCCTCCGGGAGCTGTAATTGGGATAAAACATAACAGCTCGTCTGCTGGAGAAGAGGAGGTTGTCATAGCTACGTAACTCTGTGCTAGAAACTGTGGTGGCTTTCTGAATGCAATTCAAAGAGTCTAACTTACAGTGCCGTACCTGGCAGGATAGCTCAGGACAACCTTCCCCGTGTATCCAGAGTAGGTTTGCTGGCAAAATTTCTTAATGCCCTCTCCCCACGCATACCAAGAGGTTAAAAGGGGCTTTTGCACAAGATGCTGTTGTGGGGTTTCTATGTCACGCAAAAGCCTTTCCTCCAGCTCACATCAGCCCCAGCGCCCAGCTTTCTATGACTTTTCAGAAGCTGATAAAGGTGTTGTTGTTGGGGTTTTTTTGCAGAGTATTTGGGAGATGATGGAGGACTGTCAATGGCAGCAGGTTTTTTTTATTGCATTGCTGTCTTTGTTTCGGTAGTTTTAATCATTGCACATTGCTAACAATCTTATGCAAATTTTAGAAATACATAAAATGAGCGAATAGGCAGCAATATAAATTAAATAAATGAATAAATAAAATAAATACATAAGCCACGAAGTAGACTGCTATATAGTACTTTCCTCTTGGGCATGGACTGCAGTATTTGGCCTATCCACTTTAACACCAGGAAGCTATCAAATTATGGAATTGATTTTTAAAAAAAATATAAGTTCCCTTGATATTTATAGCACTGTGTTGGACTAGTGAGGAAGTGTGTTCCAGCTTTTTTACTGCATTTTTGTGTTCATCCAGACGGGTACTTATTCTTCTATTGGTCTGTCCAATGTATGTGGCCGGGCAAGATGCACAGGGGACTTCGTATATGCCTTGGTTTTCCAGGTCAATTTTATCTTTGGGGTTTCTTAGGATGGCTGCTATTTTTCTGTCTGTTTTGAAGGCAGTCTTGATGTGATGCCTGTGTAGTATCTGGCACAGCAGTAGGCTAGCCTCAAATTTAAAACTGAAACGGCTGTGAAAGTCTGACTCACAGACGAACACAATACAGAAGCCTGATGATGGCAGATGAGATTCTGCCAAAACGTTGCTACAACTTTAAAAGCACAACTATAATGACGTGGGAAAATACCCGAACAAAGCTGAATACCATATATGTAAGTACCCGTGAAAACTTAACAAATATATATACATATACTAATAAAAGAGAATAATCAAATATGTCATGTTTTCAAGCTGAAATAAAACCCTTGATTAGGACATGGAAGCTGATCAAACATTAACATTAACTCACAAGTTAAAAAAAAAGAAATGCAAAGAGCTTTTACTTTTCTAACTGCACTCTGAATATTGATTTCTGATGAAGCAGCGGCAAAAGGCTCCAGTCACATGTCTTGAGAACAAATACCCACAACTTCCAACCTCAAGGGAAAGTTTAAAGTCCCTTTTCTCAAGAAGAGGCTCAAAACGGGCCCTTTAAAAAAAAAAAAAATGATTTAGCACAGGCTTCCTGGTGGATTTGGGGGGGGAGGGGGATTTCCAACACCATCCAACTTGGCCACTGGGAGTCACACAGCTGGAAAGACACAAATGGTGCTATTTCCCAGGGCATTTTCAATGCACAGCGATGCACAATGACGCAACTGTGCATCCATCATTATAGGCCGGAGATCTGCATTCAAGTGATAAAGCTCCCTGCTTTCACGTGGGATCTTCTTACAGCTAGTCCTCGACATACGACCGCAACTGAGGGCCAAAGTTACGTCGCTCAGCGAGATATCAGTTAAGTGCCTTTTGCCCCATTTTACTGCTTTCCCCGCCGCTTTTGTGAAGCGAACCACTGCAGTTCTTTAGTCACCCACGCTTGTTAAGCGAATCCAGTTTCCCCTGTTGACTTTGCTTGTCAGAAGGTCCCAAAAGATCACACGGCCTCCCTCTGGGACATTGCAAAGGTCATAAATGCGAGGCAAGCGTTGTGGGGGCAATACACCGACTGCGTAAAACAGCTTACGGAGGGCTGTAAAAGCACCGCCAAGCGGTATATAAGTCTGAAGTGCTATTGCTATGCAAATATCAATCGTGGGGATGCTGCAACGGTTGCAAGTGTGAGAAACGGTCGCAAGTGTGAGAAACAGCCATCAGTCCCCTTTTCCAGTGCCGTTGTATCTTTGAACGGTCCTTAGGCGGCCTGTTGTAACTCGAGGACTACCTGTACTACGCGAGGCACGCGTGCACTCAAGCCCACGGCCCCTTCTTCAAAGAAACACGGGTCCCCACACGAATCCCCAGGCTTAAACCCCACGTCCCAATCCTTTTGCACGGGGAAGGAGCAGCGCCCATGCCCTTGTCTTGGGCAAAAGCACCCGGCATGCTCCTCTCGCCTTTCACCCGTTTGCAAAGGGCTCCGCGCACCCCGGGCCTTGACCCGCCAATGCCCGCATTAGCACGTGGGAACGCAACCCGGGCTGCTCGCGCGCACGCGCAATCCGACCTGGGCCAGCGAGCCCAGAGGGCCCCCGGCCCCCCCCCCCTCCCCCCCCCCCCCCCCCCGCGCTCGCCCCACCAGCCAGCCAATCAAAGGGAGGCGCCGCGAGGAGCCCCGAGAGCCCCAGTCCAAAACGGTCACTCCCGGCCGCCCCAACCACTCCGGGCCACGGGAGGGGGGGGAGAACGCGGGCCGACGCGGGTCGCGACGTTGCCGAAGGGGAAGGGAAGGCGACAGCCGACCGGAGGGCGAAGAGTGCAGGTGCGGAAGGAGGACGACTAGCCTTCGGTGAGGGAAAGGCCCACAGCGCTGGGGAGGGGGCATTAAAATGGCTTCAACAACCCCCCCCCCCGTCCAGTGAGGTGCCGGGGTCCGGACTATACCAAGCAGGGAGGGGGGAAGGCCAGCTGGGGCAGCTTTTTCCCCCCCGTCTGGGGCGGATGGGGTATCCCGATTAGGGCAGGGAGGGGGAAGCGGACTGTACCTCTCCGGCAGGGAGGGGGGTATGGCAGCGCCCTATATCTCTTTCCCCACCCGCGGGAGCAAACGGTTTGTCCCGATCCCGGCGCCATCTTGGGTGCGACTAAAACAACAACCCCTAAAAATCCTTCATGGAGCCTTGCCGAAACCCTGAGCCAAACTCATTCTCCGGGCCGATCCATCGTTTTACCTGAAGGGGTTCGGTGACGGTTTCGTGTCCAGGCCGGTTCCTAGGGCCTCACCACAGATCATCCCCGCCCACCTGTCCTCACCTCACAATGGTAGCTGCAGAACGGGGGGGAAGGGGGGGGAAGAAAGACCGCCCATGAGTCATTAGAATAATCTGCCTAGCAACAGCTGCCAAGGCCATGAGATAATTGGTCGACACTCAAGCTCGTCTAAAGGAGAGATTCCAAAAATATTTCCATGCAAGCCGCATTAACAGCGTTCTGCAGAGACTTTTGGGGAGGGGGGGGGGAATTGGGGGCGGAGGGAAAGGCACACACCCCTTTGCCTTGGATTTGGGCCTCCGTCGCTCGAGACCAAATCCGGCCAATCACAGCACAGCTCTCATCCAGTCGCCGCATTGCACTGGAGCCATCCACCAATCACGAGCGTCCTCTCGTCCTGCCAGGCTGAATAAATGTGAAATAATATAGCGACCCCTGTCGGCAGAACGGGAGAGCGTCAGGACGCGCGCCTCGACCTGCTGCCCGCCAGACGTTTTGGACTACAGCTCCCAGCATGCCTAGCGCGGATGCCTCCGCCGCAAAGTCTCTCTTGGGTGGGGCGACCCCGAGCTGGGTTGCAAAACTTCAGAGTGCCGCTAGGTGGCTGTAAAGAGACGAAAATGGCTCTTTAGTGACTTCTATCGCTCACCCGGATTTTATTTCTCTTTTATTTTTTATTTATTTCATTGGGGAAGAAGTTAATCCACATGCATGCTTTAATCCCCATTCCATTTTCCTGCAATTATTCACTTGCAGCACCCGATAAGTTCTTAGTGCTCTCTGAGCTTGGCTGTTTTCTTGCAGACGTTTCGTTATTCCAACTATGTAACATCATGCTAAAGGTCTATGGAGAATTTCAACCATCTAGGTCAAGGGTCGCCATCCTTTGGGACCACCAAACTCATAATTTTAAATCCTGTGAACCAGGGATCCTGGGAAAATCCCCAAAAAAAGTCTGCAGGAAAATTCCCCACTCTGTTTTCCTACCGATCGATCATTCTTTATTTGGGATCGCAGGATACCATCTCCAGCTCCGTTCTCAGGGGGAAGAGAGAGAGAGAGAGACTTTTGGCTTCATGCAAGGAAAGCAGCAGAAGCCGCAGAAGTCTTTCTTTCTCTCCCCCAAACTCCGCCAGAAAGGAGTCTTTGCCGGCACAGCCTCTTGGAGCAGGAGGCCTTGCAGGGTCCCAAAGACTCCTTTCTGGCAAAGTCGGGGGGAGAGAAAGAAAGATTTCTGCTGTTTTCCTTGCGTGCAGCCAAAAGCAGAAGAAAGAAATAGAAAGAAGAAGCCCGGTGGCCAGGCAAGACATGTGGGGCATGTGGGGCAAGTTCCCCCCTTCTCGTGTTGTTCGCAATGCAAGCGACACAAGCCTTGTGTTCCCGCGCAGCCTGGGTTGATTGATTTGGGGGGGGGGTGACATTTCTCTGCAGACCACCAAAATTTTCTCACGGACCACCAGTGGTCCCTGGCCCCCTGTTTGGCAACCACCGATCTAGGTCATGGTTGTCCCAAAGGTGCTTTTTTCAAGAGGCGACTGGACTTTCTGGTTTTTCTTTTGAAGACCTTTCACTTCTCATTCAAGAAGCTTCTTCAGCTCTGACAGGATAGTGGGGAATGGAAGGATTTATACTCCTTACAAACAGCTGGTCATTTGCATCCTTTTTAGAAGGTCCGTTGAAGCACTTGAAGGTTTATCTGTGTCCTGGGGACACCTGAGTAGTGTTTCTGGTTCCTTATTTTAAATTCTTTCTTCTGCATGCCAGAGTGGGGAATTCCCCAAGGTACTTTTTCAAGGGGCAGCTGGACTGCCTGGTTTTTCTTTTGAAGATGTTTAGTTCCCCACCGTCTAGTCAGAGCTGAAGAAGCTTCTTGGATGAGGAGCTAAACATCTTTAAAGCAAAACCAGAAAGTCCAGCTGTCTTTTTTTTGGGGGGGGAAGGCACTTTTGGGGTCATTGGTGCTAATTCAAGTTATCTGAGAGATGCCTAAGGCTATTTAGCTAAGAACCGTATGAATGAGCCCATTGCAACAGCTCTGATCCGTCTTTTTTTTTTTTTTCCTTTTAAACCGTGCTACCAATTAAAATGCAAACACAAAAAAAGCTTTTCCAACTTTTGAAGCTGGATCCTGAAATTCAGAGTTGCCCCATTCTCGCGGTGGTGAGAATAGGCATGCTGGTTTGTGGGCGGCTGGGCTGCTCAGCCCTCTTTGCAGGCTTTTGCTTTCAGGAATGCTCAAAAGTAGGGAGGAGAAGGTGGAGGAGGAATTGGGCCTGGGCCAACCCTCCCTTCCAGAAGCTTCATCGCCCATTTGCAGGACCATATGGAAAGCGGGTGATCTCAGTTATAAGAAATCTTTCCTAATTTTTGTAAAAAAAAAAAAAAAACCAGATTGTTTCTGTCTGCATAACAGAAGCCTGTGTTTAATAATGAGGGTAGTGCTAATTTTTCTGCTGTTCTTATTACTGATCCGGCTCCTGCTGGCAGTTCAAAGGAAGGTGCCTGCACTGAACCATTTCAGGAGGATGGGGGAGATAAACAGCCCATTTAATTCCCCCCCCCCCCCCATACACCCACTGATAGAAATATCCTGGGCCTGGATAGCAAGGAGGAATGGTATCCACACACCAAAAGGGGAAGTTTGTTTTAGGGTAAAAATAATTGTTGTCTGCAGTAGCTCAAATAAATATTGTAGAAGCAAAGAGAAGGGAGCGCGAGAGAAAAGAGGCTGGCGTTCAGACAAGAGACAAAGGAAAGGCGGCCGGGAAAAGCACAGGAAGGAAAGCAATTCTCCGGTCTGGAAAAATAAGAGAGTTTTTAAGCAAACATTGATGTCCGGTTTGGGACCCTGGCAACTTTCAGACTGGTGGACTTCAATTCCCACAATTCTCTAGCCAGAAACTTTCGATTACAATTGAGCCCAACAATTCCGTTGCTGAGCAAGATATTTGTTAAATGAGTTTTGCCCCATTTTTGCCACATTATTAAGGGAATCGTGCAGTCATTAAGCAAATCTGCCCCCCCCCCCGCCGTTGACTTCGCTTGTTGGAAGCCAATTGGGAAGGTTACCAATGGCAATCACAAGGCCACCAAGACAATGCAACTGTCATAGATACATGCCAGTTGCCAAGCGCCCAAATTTTGATTGTGTGACTATGGGGAAGCTGCAGAATAACAAGAGTTGGAAGGAACCTTGGAGGTCTTCTAGTCCAACCCCCTGCTCAAGCAGGAAACCCTACACCATTTCAGATAAATGGTTGTCCAATCTCTTCTTAAAAACCTCCAGTGATGAAGCACCCACAACATCTGAAGGCAAGTTGTTCCACTGGTTAATTGTTCTCACTGTCCCGAAATTTCTCCTTAGTTGCTTTCAGTTTCCATAAGTCGCTTCTTGTCTTGATTTCAGGTGCTTTGGAAAATAGGTTGACCCCCTCACATATGGGGACACTGCTATCATGTCAACAATCATAAGTCACTTTTTTCAGTGCGATTGTAACTTCAAACATTCACTAAACAAATGGTTGCAAGTTGAGGACTACCTGTAATGAAAAATGCCAACCAGAAGGCATCAATTTATTATTTTATCCCACAGGTTATATATATATATATATAAAGTTGTAGCAACATTTCGGCAGAATCTCATCTGCCATCATCAGGCTTCTGTATTGTGTTCGTCTGTGAGTCAGACTTTCACAGCCGTTTCAGTTTTAAATTTGGGGCTAGCCTACTGCTGTGCCAGAATGGTTTTTTCTTCATCCTGATTGGTTGGGAGTCTTGGTCTGTGTTTATTGGTCTTGGAGTTTGCTGTGTTCTGCTTGATTGGTGTTTCTAATATCTTCTGTCTGTTTTGTTTCGAAAGCACCAGCCTGAAGATAGCGAGTGGGACCTCGTTGAAAAGTCGCCAAGATACTCTCAATCTTACACGGGAAAAGACCCGAACACACCAAAACCTGCATACACACACACACACACACACACACACACACATATTGTCTAAATGGATTTGCAAGAGGAAACCTGTTCCAAATATCTTGATTGTTGAAAAACTAATGGTCTATGTGGCAAAACCTCTGCCTGTCCAGTTTTTCCCTTACAAAAGAAAGCAAGGGTACCTGTTTTACTTTTAGACAGGTGGCTAGTATTCCATTTAATAGCTCACTAAAACATGGTTTCATTAAATTCCTTTCAGCGCCTTACCTTTCGGTGTAGCTGCATTGATTCTCCGCTCCCTTCAACCTCTCCACCGCAAATTTCTCATTACTGTCCTAAGTTCTGTTCGTGTGAGTTTGCTCTTTATGTAGTAATAAAGAGTACGTTCTGTTTCATTTAACTGGTACATAAAACGGAATTCATTTTACACTTTCTACATTTCTGCTCAGCAACCCTAAGTGGCTGCATTTCCAGATCTCTCCCAGCCCCATTGCTATCTCTTTCACTTGAACTTTGGTGCAATGGGTGAAGCCAGCAGAAATTTTAACATTTGATGTAACTTATTCAGCAAACCATAATTAAAACTATCCATGGCTTCGCCCATGGTATGAATCCAGAAACTGAACCCGTTCCTTATGTTGAATACAATCTCAGGCTGTGATTCTCGTATGCTGCTTTCCAGCTGAATGAAAGCTTTGAAGTTTATTGTGTGTGATTTACATCAAAACACAAAACCAACCATTCTTTTTCTGAAAATTGTTATGACAAAACCAAACGATAAAAAGCTACAAGTGCACTTTAAAAAAACAACGACGTGGTTTTCATATTGTACAGTATGAGCACTGGGTCAACTCATAAAATATGTCTATGGTCGTTTTAGATATTTTTTTGGTTTCCAACAGAAAGGGAGGGGGGAAAGGGGTTTGAAAGAGCAGTGAGGCAACTGGGAAATCGAAAGTGCATTCCATACATAGATTTTCAGAGATAGTAACTAGGTGACTGAAATTTCTGCTGGGCAAAAATCTAACTGGAGAACATGATGGATGACTCTTGGCTATGGATGTGTCTCATTGGAGAATATGAATTACAATACACCCAGGGGGTGGGGGGAAAACCAGGGTCAAGGGTGACAATGAATTATGTGTCTCAGAGTCGGCTACACCCAGACAGTGCCGGATATGTTAACTCCCAATAAATCCTTTTGAAGTTTTGGAAGTTTGGCTTGTGATTTAATTGGGGTAACTTCAGGAATCCTGAC